TTACATTACCGACTGTGGTGACTGGCCGACGATGTGGAACTATTCCAAATGAGTACTGAAAGAGGCCTCTACCAAGAGGAAGAACAGGTGCAATCCCAGTCATCTTTCTACAAAGTTCCTGGGCCCATCGTAACCATGAACCTTTGGGGTTGTTCACCTGATCATAAAGATCTGTCTCACCAAATGAGAACACAGGAACCAAAGGAGTCCTATGCAACAAGGAAAACAACTGATGCTGACCATTAATGTTCACGGACGTTCTGACAATAAAACGTTTCACACGTGGTGGCTATAACAGTGGATGAATCTAGCTGCTAAACATTATAGCACTGCAGTTAAACTCATTTATAAAGTTAACATGTTGAAACACAACACGTTACTATCCCAACACTATGATAAGTAGAAACCTTTCGTCAAGTTTCATTCATTCAAACACCTGCAACAAAAATGCTTTACAAACGAATGCAGCTCTTTTGATCCAGCTAGTTACCAACTTCGAAAAATAATTTGTAATGTCTTACGAAGTTACGAGAATCGATTGTATTTCTTACCCGTGCATTAAGGCCAGCTTTACGAAACCTTTTCGTCTCTTCAAGATGATCTTGTACGTTCCAGGTCGACACTCCAATGACTCCGATGCACCGCCTACAACTAACGCTACGGCATTGCCCGGTCGACTCAACACGTAACTCAATGCTTCCACCGACGAAGGGCAGCCACCTGTCAAAGAGCACATTTCAGGTTCGGCGTAATTAATCCGATGTTTTACTGTTACAGCGAAAACGAGTACTCCTACACAGTAAAATTTTTCAGATACACTTGAATCTTAAATCAGAGGTTCTCATTGGTTTTTTAACATTGTCACACTGTGATGAAAAATAGTCACACTATATCAGAAAAACATGTCTTACTCTGTGAACAATTGTTCAGCTTAATGCAGAAATAATGTTGGTATATCTGACACCTTGGCTTTGTGCTTACCAAGTGCAAGAGACAGTTCGCGGATGAATGGAATAATGAAATGTCCCGCAAGAGTGACAAGATATGGTCTGAGGCCTGGAAACAGTTTACTGAATTTGCTTGCTTCAGTAGCGAAACTTAGGAATGCCCCAGTGCTCAGTACACCATGTGGGAACACACAGAACATATACGTTCTGGTGGGGTCCAATTCGACCGTCTTTTCAAGGCGCAGTGGAAAGTAGTCACGAAGGTAGTCCCACCAGACCCAGCGTCGGGCCCATTCGGACCTGCAGAAAAGTAAATAGGCTAAGTAGAACATCACAACGCACAAGCAATGAACAAGTACCTTACAGGCAGGCATAATGCAGCACCCAACGTCTGAGGTAAATTTAATACCTGTCTTTGGGTGACTATCACTACACCAACAGATACGATCCTACATCATTTTATGAAGAAAGTTGGTTTCCGGTTCCATGTTAACTTTTAACCCAATGAAATTTACTTTCACAAAATGTGATATAAATGTAACAATCTTGGAGGCTATCCATGTTTTTAGTTTAAAATCTGACCATCCATAATATCAATATGGCGGAGGAACTAAATTTACATTTAACTTCCTGTTTAATAACTTTGACTAACTAATGTACCACTATCGCTAAATGTTTAATATTTAGGTATGATGTGTGGCAAATCTTAGGATACGGTATGATTACCATTCGACACTTTTATTTAGTGTTCTGTCTGACGACAGGTCCATATGAACAGGATCCTTCCATCCTTTTCTCGGACTGGGACCTGTTCATATACGTTCTTGGCAGATGATCCAGAAGGGGTTTGCCATTGCCTTCTTCTGTGTGAATGGAGTAATTGTTGGGATGCCAATGAGGAAAACTCCGTGTTGCCTAGGCCACGGCCTTGCCCAACACAAGTTAGAAATTGATGAAAATTTTAGTAGCGACAGATATTAGAAATGACACAATGTCCGTTTATCGTAGAAATTGGATTAAATGGAAACCTGGTGTAATTAGAAAACTTTCCTGGGCATGGGAACACGGGGCGAGAAAGCGATGAGAAAATGCCTATAATAAATAGTTAGAAAATATGACAAGTTCATGTAAGTTTTGGAACGACGTTAAAAAAAAAATCCAAATTACATTTTCGAGGGAATTACGAGTGGATTGAATCCAGATAATTCACGAAAATATTCAGTTCAGAATTTTTTTACGTCTAACATAAGAATATGTAAAAATTAAAAGGCTAAAAAAATAGAATTGATCGTTCACCTGAAGTTTTTATGAGTGTAAAACTTGGTCCTTCTTCCTGCGTTAATATGAACTGACGACATAAGAACCACTAATAGGTACCTGAGGAAAATATACGGACCGACGAGAAAATAAAGCAATAAAATCCATACAACTACAATGAGAAATTCATAATTTATACTCTCACAAAACATTTTTAAGATCACAAGCTAATCAGAACTATGAGATGGAATAGGTTATGTAGCACGCACGGGAGAGATATGTTAATTCATACAAAATGTTAATCGGGAGATCTTAGATAAAATGTCACTTTTGAAACTTATATGAGATATTATTAAAACGGATTTTGAATAAATAACATGTGGTCCATATTGACTGGATTCAGCTATCTCAGAACAGAAACCAATATCGTTATCTTGTTCAAACGATAAATGATGATTATTTCTTGACTGTTCGAGGTAATATTAGTTCCCCGAGAAATATATCCCTCCGCGTAGTTATTTTAACGCGGAACGGTTAAAAAATGTAACAACTGAAAATAAATTGGTTTCAATTCACACAACACATGTTACAAATTCAGGAAAAGTTACACCTCAATGAATCACCTTTTCTCAAAAGCCCATCCTATCCAACGAAGAATCATTTCTGATTTAATTTTTTATATTTTAATATTTTCCGTCAAATCACAATTTTAATAAGATAATAAAATATAAAATATTTAAAATATCATTTCACGTTCCGCATCGAATGATCGATTTACAAATTGGAACGTCTCTTACGACATGTTTCGGTTATATTTAACCGTCCTCAGGTATAAATTAGATTGGTAAAATTTAAAACTCGAATTACAATCATTTACAATGTTATGCAGTTTATTGAAATGTTCTTATCAGATTACTCTTATATATTAGATCGAAGGTATTGTTTTTATATATATGGCGTGGTTCATCTGATGTTCAATATTAGTCTGTAAAGCAATGGTTTAAATAAATAAAACATTGATATTTTAAATATTTTATATTTTATTATCTTATTAAAATTGTGATTTGACGGAAAATATTAAAATATTAAATTATAAATGTACAGTAATAAGTGAATCACTTTCAGCGAAAATAAACTTCGAACACAGAAGCCGATCCGATTTCTAGAGCCGTAGAAAGCTTTGTGTTCATCAGATAACAGCTGAGAAAGCACTTATTAACACAAAGGTATCACCAAGACCACCTACGTAATATCTCCATAGACAAGAGCCCTTAAAAACAACAGTTTCAAACCCTTTCATGTAGCCCAAGTTTCATTAGAGTGTTCACAAGGGCCCATCACGATACAGATGAATTCTGTCAAAACCCTCACATTCTATTTCTCGATTTGTTCATCGTAATAATACTGGATGGAGGTTATAGATTAATTTATTAAGCAATTTTCTCAAACATTCTGATACTTTCTGTTATGCTGGGTTCAAACATTTTTCTCAGTGACGAATTCTCTAACACAATCCACGTTCATCGGTTGAAATGAGATATTACACTTATAATATTTTAGACATACGTTTTATACCTATTTACTATATAATCATAACAGTTAAGTAAATAACCGATTCCTGATGATGTACTATTTCTCCGAAACATGTAGTTACTAAAATAATAAACACAAATATGTAATAATATACTAAAGCATGTAACATTGATTAGTTGTATGAAGATGGCTAATAGTAATACTAGTTAATTATTCGGTTTTTGTCCGTCTAATCACAATTCATATATAAATTTACAATTAAGATAATTAAAATATCATTTTATGTTCCTCATCGAACAATCGATTTACAATTGGAACAT